AACAACAAATACTAAAATATTGACTGTGAAAATATTTCAAATTTGAAATATGTTTGAATGCAGTTTTTTCAATATTTTTGATTTGACAATTCATTATTAATAAATATTCCAGATTTATTAGATTTTCAAATGATTCACTGTTTAAATATACTTCATTATTTATTCGATTTATCAACAAATTACGTAATTGAGGAAGTCCAGAAAAATTGATGACGTTATCATTACTATTAATAGTAATATTTTTGATATAAAAATTTTGAAGCATTGATAGATTGATAATAGATGTTGAATCATTCATTTTCTCAATATACAAATTTGAAATGTTCAAAAATATAAGATTTGGAAAATATTGTTCAATTTTAAACTGTTCAAAAGTTGAATTATTAATATTCAATGACAAAATATAAATAACTGTTTGTTGAATATTTCAAAAAAAAAAAATAATCTTTTTCAAGCATTTATTAAAAAAAGAAAAAATTTATTATTGAAAAAAGAAAACTTAAGAAAAAGATTTTTTTTTTCACATTTTTTTTCTCTATTGTTCAAACTTTGAAAATTAAATTTAATTAACAATAGACTTTTGAATATAGAATTTTTCATAAAATTTAAAAATCTTGTTCTATTAATATCATTTCCAATTTTTGAATTATTGCATAATATAGTAAAATTTAATCTATAATATTTGCAATTATTAATTGTTTGCCCATTATCGCAGCTTATTTCGTCGCTGCCATCACTACAATCTATTATGTTGTTACAAACGTCTTTTAATGAGATAAACTGTCCAAGATTTTTGCATTTAAAATGATCTTTTAAAAAATAATTCTCTACAATACAAACAAAATTGAAAATAATTATCAAATGTTTTTTTCATTTTTCCACTCACTATGGCAATTTTCTTCGTCGTCGCCTCTCCTACAATTCCAAATACCATCGCAAACTTTCAATACAGATATACAATTCCCATCCGATGAGCACTGATATTCTCCAATTGAGCATTTACTTGACAAACATTCTAAATTGAATTTTGGATAAATTCTATGCAATATTTTATATTTGCAATAGGAAGAGATTTTTTTCTTATCATATGTCCTAGTTGAGAGTTGGAATTTAGCAAACTTTTCGCATACTATTAAATGAATTAAAGTTGTTAGAATACTTGGAGTTTTCAAATGTTTGTTTTTGTGAGAGATACTTGACAAGGAAATCACTTACTTTTCACATTGTCTTTTTTGCATAAGTCGTATTTATCTTTGCAAACAGTGTCATAATGACAAACTTTGTCTTTAAGAGTGCAACCGGAATCACATACCACATCTGTACAGTACTCTGAATATTTTTTGAAGTCAGAATTAATTATTAGTCATAGTGAATTCAAGGAAAAACGTCCATGATTTTGTGGCTATGTGAGAAAATGGACGTTTTCACCCTTTGATTTCCCATTAGCACTAACTAAAATCTTGATTTTCTTCGTCAGAATTATCATGACAATTTTTCTTATGATTATATATTTCATCTCGGTTCAAGCATTTCCCATTTAAACATCTTAAAAGATAGATAGTTTCTTTTGCCAGTTTATTACAATATTACAATTTACCTGAATCCTCCAGTGCAGTTTTCCCTAACTATTGATTAGGTAAAGATTTTTCAAAAGAGAAGTTTAAACTACAAACAATAAATATAGCTACCGCAATATTCGTCGGAACCATCAAGGCAATCCTTTATGTGATTGCATACAAACTGATAGGCAATCAATTGGCCATTAGAACACTGAAAAAATTGTCTAATGCAATATCTTTCATCTTCACCCGAATCTAAGCAATCGTTAACTCCATCACAAACATAGATTATATTAATATAATACATTTCCTTTGAGCAGTAAAAGAATTGTTTCAAATCAGAAGGAATCCATGCATTTATCTTTGTTCTTTTATTGTTAATATCTGCCATATTTATAAATATTATTACACTACTGTAAGCAAAAAATTTATGAAGATATAAAAATCCCATGGACATTGGATGGCAGAACTATTCCATTTTTAACCTAGCCCTTAATGTATGCCATTTATCGTAAGATACTCATAACCCCTCATTCAAGATACAATCCCTAAAATCTCACGCCGTGGACGATATTCAACAGAAAATTTCATACCTAACATTGACTGACAAATAAATGTGTTATATTTATTTGAGCATTTTGTATTCTCTATTCTGGATAATCTTAAAAAGTCGTTTGAAATTAAATGAAAGCATTCAGTCCTTCTTTGTTTGTCATAATTTCGCAATTTGTTTATTATATCTTCACAGAGAGATTTTACTGAGGAATATGTATTGATGTAAACGCTGTTTTGCATATATTCAATAGGATACGAGAAGTTGGGCGATGAAATATAAATCTCTTTGTTGTTGAGTAGTTTTAAAATACCTCTTCCTGAGAAATTAGTTAAAGTAGTTAACTCTTCATGATACCTAATGTAATGTATACTGACGACTAGGAATTTGTGTATTATATCCAATACGGGTTAGCCAATTTCCTATGATATAATGTGTACTGATGAATGATAAGTCAACGATAGATAAACTGTTCCCGTTGCAAAACCTTTCAACTTCGTAAATATTCAATTCTTTCTCATAAGAAAACATATAATAGCAAGTATCGTAAAAATTTATAGCGTCGATTTGTCCATTTATAAAAGAGCAACCTATCAAAAGATGGCTTTCGATTAATAATAGACCCCTGAATGTTAACCTACTTTTGCTGTTGGAGGAATAGCATCTAATTGAAGTTGCATTTTGGGCTAAAATGGCATTTGAAGAGAAGTTAATCAATCTTAAATTATTAATAGATTTATGATAAAATAACCTAATGCAAAGGTTGTCTTGCTTAGCGTATTGTATCTGTTGAGTAAAGAACCGTCTCCTCCAACATTTTCGGAAGACTCGAAGAAATATTGCGATTTAGTCAAATCATTTTTATAATCGTCTTTCAAGCACATTTCAAGTTGAGTAGCATTCATTGAACAACGAAGATTAAAAGATTTTACGGTTGTTATTAATCTTTGTTTTTCGTCAAAAATTTGAGTTCCTTGACTGAATCCGAAATATTTGCATAAAAGATTTACTTCTTTGACTCTAATAAATTTTGGATTAACATTATAAAAGATGTTGTTGAGTGAAACTTGAACGATTCCGGAAAATTCTTTGCCTTCAGTTGTTTTATTATAAAGTTGATGAGTATCATTCCTCCATAGTCTAAAGGTAAAATCTATGGAAAATAGCCAAAAAAAGACTGCATAAGAGAAATGTTTATTATTTAAATATTTACCTTTGGCTAACATCCTCTCTGCGCATTTAAAATCAAAAGAATGAACAGATCTGCTTATTGTAGGTAAACAAGGAAAACTAGAAGTAGAAATATTCCAATTACACTTTCCAAAAACTAAACTTGAAAAAGAGAATATTTTGTGAAAATAGCTTAAGCATCCATCTTCACTTTTAAAACGGTTCTCTTTGATTGATATTGGTGAAAAAGTTTTAGATTGCATTTTACAAATATTCTCCATAATATCCATAATATCTACTACACTTTTAAATTTAGGTAATAATCTGCCATACAACTTTGAACTAAGCCTAAGACTTGTTTTTGTCTTTTTCAATGTAATATCTGTAATAATGAAATTATTTTTCTTGTATAAAATTGAATAAATTGTTTAAAAATATGGTATAAAAGGTATAATTAAACCGTTAAAATGAAATCTTTGACAAACAGATTTTTGCAGAGTAGATTTAGAATTAAAAATGAAGGTTTTGTTTATAAAATTGCATCTCTTATAGGATAATTCTTGTTGGGTAATAAATTTATCACCAATTATAAATTCAACATTTTGGCAAATTTCTTGGAAATCATTATCATTAAAATAAACTCTAAAACTCGACCCATTTCTTCTAAGTATTGGAAAATATGTATCAGTAACAATTGAATGAAAGCCAAACATAACTAAAAAATTCATAAATAGATTCAAATTGATTATAGAGATGAAGAAACATCTTACAAGATTTATTCCTTTTAAAGCATTTCATACAAAGAGGATTCATATACAAACCACCCAATCTACTAAAATTGAGTATAATATACTGTAGGTATTCTTTCACTATTCTAACACTTACTATTCACAGCATGGTTTAAAAGTTCTTACAGATAGATATGGAACCTGACTAACTATGGAGAAACGACGAATGAATATTGAATAAAATCTCCAATATTTTCAACCTTACCTCCTTTTTGGCATGGATAGAACTTTGTAAAAGCAATGTCGCAATTTAATTCTTTAACTAGAAAATGTTTGAATTCGGTTGAATGATCACAATCGTCAAAATCCAAATGTAAACCATACATATTTTCTTTACTTTGATTATAGCCCAGATATATATCATAAGTGTCGTAGTAATAGATAAATTCTGGTCTTTTTAGGAAGAGACCCTTAGTTGAAACAACAATTTGTCCTTCGTTAAAGTTCTTTTCGGGATTGTTATAGAAAAATGAAAATGTTGATTTATTCAATTCTTTTTTATTGATTGTAAATTCAATAAATGAAGATAATAGAAGAGATAATAAACAAAAATTCATGTTCTCCTTCTCAGTTACACCCAACATGAATGACAAACTTTGAATACCTAACCTTCGACGTAGAAAATTCCATATTAAATAACAATGTAACATTTAAAAACGTTAAATGTCAATTACTTTGTTAAGAGTTCAATAGATTATAATTTTATTAGAACTCTATTAAAACTAGAATGAGTTACTTATTTAACTTTAAATAAGAAATATAAGAAGCATTAGAAAACTGTCTTTATCATCATCTATTTAAAAAGAATAGGCAAAAGAGAAATAGTAACACGTGCGTAAATTCAATCATTTTGAATGCTAAAAATAGAAATGGGAATGAACAGGAGTTTTACGAGATAATAATTGATTAGATTGCGTTACTACTCTAAAAGAATATTTAGTTAGACATTAAACAATCAGTTTTTTATTTTCGAATCAAAACAACATTTTTAACATGAAGGCTCTACTAATTTTATTGTTTCTTTCATATACAACTGCCCAATGGCTCTGTAATAATCATTTTATCATTTTTTTTCATTCATTTTTCGTATATTTTTCATTTTTATCTTAGCAGAATGCGGGAGAAGCAAATACCCGAATCCGGCTCCTGAGCAAAGAAGCGATAAATTTGACAGAATAGTTGGAGGTTGGGAAGCGAGAGCAAATGAATTCCCTTATCAAGTAGACACAAAATAATTATTCTATAGAAAGATTTCTCCATGAGAAATGTCATTTTTTAAAATAATTTAGTTGAGTTTAAGAGTGTTTGAAAGCCATGTTTGTGGTGCAGTTGTTATCAACAGTAATTGGGCTCTTTCTGCTGCTCATTGTACTCCCATTGGATCTTTTAATGGTTTAATTATTGTTGCTGGGGCTCACAATAGAAGCAATCCACTTAATAATGAACAGAGGTCGAATATCTTAACAGTAATCAACCACGAGCGCTACACAAACCCATTAAGACACTCAAATGATATATCACTCCTTCAATTGGCTAATTCTTTAGAATTAAATGATAATGTTGCTGCAGCTTGTTCTCCCAGACTCACTGATTACGTTAATGTTATAGCTACTTCTTCTGGATGGGGAGCCACTGTTTCTGGTGGTCCCATTCCCCATGTATTAAGATATACTAACGTTGAAATTTGGTCAAACAGCAGATGTAACGCATCATATCCAGGAAGCATTGATGAAAGCATGGTATGCGCCTCAACGCCCGGAAGAGATATATGTCAAGGAGATTCCGGTGGTCCTCTAGCTTACAACAACAACGGTCGATTTGAAGTAGTTGGATTAGCATCATGGGGAAGAGGTTGTGCCGAACCAGGAAACCCAGGAGTTTACGCCAGAGTTGCAAGTAAACTTGAATGGATAAGAGAAAATACTGAAAGAAGACCTATTCAGATAGGATAGTAACTATTCTATAAAATATTAAGAATATAATACATACCATATATTCGTATTTCATATTAACTTTGTAAGGTTAATTTAAAGAGGAAAATCAATCTAATTAATAATTTTTCTGAAGTATTTGATGATTAGCCTTCTGTAGTGATAATTTTTATATTTTATTCAACAACAATTGTCGTATTTCGCAGCCATCAATAATGACAACAAAATGGTGTTCATATCAATTTGGTTTATTTACTCTTCTAATTCCTTTAACTGATGGTTTTCTCTGTGACTTTAAAGGAAGAATATTATTACACAACCTAGACAACGAGACTACCGCAAATTATTCAATGAGAATAGTAAAAGAAGATAGATAAAGAGTTTGATAAATGATAATTATTCAACAATTATATTTACATCTTTACTTTTTCAGATTAAATCAAATTAATGATGTTGTAGAGCTAAATCATTCAAATTGTTATTATTAAATATCATAGAATAAAGCTAGTTTAGAAATTTCAACACTTCTTCTCTTTCCAGATTTATCATATATGCAATTATTGAATAGATGCTTACTGGATAAAAATTCACTAATCTTTTTAGACAAACTTAGAAATAGCCAAAAATTTTACAAAATGGAAAATATTTATGAAATTCCAAGAGATATGTTGCTCATAAAAACCGCCTCTCTTTACAATGGTTTTATTGATTTTTCAAATGTTTACCTAATTGTTTGTAATTGTTTATTTACAAATTTCAAAATGACTTTGTCTTATGTTATTTTGTAGATAAATAAAAATGGTAAATTTTATAATTTAATCACTAAACACCTGGTTTCCGGAGAGGAAGAGAAATTACAGAAAGATATGATCAATATTGCTATATTTATAAAGAAAATCCTTCAAAAACGGACACAGTTTATATAATTTTATAATTTTGCTAATTCCATCAATTTCTTCATTTAATGAATAAATTAATTAATTATTACTATAATTACATTAATTTCATTAGTAAAATATTTTAGAATAGTATAATAGGCCTTCATTGTCTTGCACATATCAATTCTATTGTACAGAGTCTATTATTAGTTTATTACCACACACACACACAAACAAAAGGCACAAAACAGAAATTGTAGATTATTATTTTCATATACAATGATGCTCATCATCCCTAAAAACAAGATAAAAGTAATTATTTTCTCTTATATTTACCTGTTCTATCTACTCGTGGACACCGTATTTTATAACTGGAATAAGTTTGAATTATGATAAACTCTACTCTACAGATGAATATTTTTCGTAAAATAGAAGAATTCTAATGTATATTTTGACATTAAAGGATTTGTGTTTAAAATCAATTGCAGATAACCTTAATGCAATAATAAATTTAAAAGAATGGCATAAATTAATAATACCATTTACTATTTATAAAATCATCTTTGAATATCTGGAACAACAATCAGGTAATAACTGTTTTACTGAAAGACAATTGCAGTTTTTCTCCTATTTCTTTCAAAATTCGAAAATATTGATATTAAACAATGATAATGGAAGATTTTCAAATATTGAAAATCTTGCTATTTTAAAGGATAACACCATAGAAGAATTGAAACTATGTAGTTTGAAAAATATATACTATTTAAGCCTATATTCGTCTATTAAAGAGTTGATTATAGAACGATGTACACTTGATAGCATTGGTGTAACGAATCTGTGCAAACAGCTTAAAAAATGTTCAAAACTGAAAGAATTTAAACTATGCTCACCACAAGGAAAATGCGAGTTATATCCAATATTCGAAGGTTTAAAATACTCTTCTAAAACACTAACAAATTTTGAATTGAGTTACGAAGGTCTAAGTAAAAAAGAAATAAAATTTTTGAGATATCTATTTAAATCGTGTAGAAATCTAGATAAAATTCGATTAAATATGTTCACATTTGGTCAAGAATTCTTTCGAATTTCCGAAGGATTGTTAAATCAATTTAAATCATCTTCACAAAGTTTAAAGACTCTACAGCTTACTGGAATTTTCTTTACTGAAAAAAGCTGTATTGCTTTGGGAGATTTGTTAAATTCCTGTAAAAATATTGAAACTTTTATTATTAGATTCAACGGAATTGAATCTAGTGGATTTAAATATATTTTAACTGGATTATACTCTTCAGCCAAAACCTTAAAAGTACTGCAATTACCGCAAAACTATAAAGGGAAGGATGAAACCATTCTTGAACGACAGACTGTGTTATTGGGAAAATGTCAAAATCTTAGAGCCGTATCTCTTTTATATTCAAATCGATATTGTTTCCACTTGGAATCAATTTTATATAGTTTAAATCAATCGTCAAAGACGCTAGAGACGCTTTCTTTAGCAGGTTATTTCTTTGGATTAGAAGAAATGGAATTGATGAAAAATTTTATAAGATCTTGTTTAAATTTACAACAATTAAATATATTACATTTTGGAGAAGGTAGCTCTGAAAATGGAGATTATCTATTACGTTCATACAAGAATTCCATTGGAAATGATTGCGGAATATATTATATGCATTACAAAAGACTTCATAAGCGTACACTATCGCAAAGTCAATTATGAAAACATAAAAATGTTCTTGGAATATTTTCTGTGAATATACAAGAAAATACAAAACAGAGTGTTTCATTAAATGGTCTATCATCTAATTTTCTCTTTTATTTTTGAAATTTAAAACCAACTATAAACTGGTAAGAAATAATACAAAATGTACATGCATACATACACACTATTTTTAAAAGGTACAATTAGTTAAATCTACATTTTTTATAAAAGATGAAGATAATTTCTCAATGACATGTTTTCCACCATTGAATGTTAAATCTGTTGATGATAAATTGACTACCCATAATTCACTATTCATATCTAAAGCCTTAGTCAGATAGTCAGTCATATTGGAAGAAAATTTACAATTGCTTATATTGAGAGAAATTATCTTGAAGCATCTTTGTGAAATATTTTCAAATATGTTCTTTCCTATATCATCAGATAAATCCGTTCCAGTCATTTCCAATGTTCTTAATTTCGTTTGATATCCTATAAATTGTCCTAAAAAGAACGACATATCTGTGGAAAACTTACATTCGCTTAGGAATAGATCAGTTATATTGCAACATTTTGAACTTATACCCTCGAACAGAGTTTTTCCTCTTTCTCCAGACAAGTCTACCGATCTTAATGATAGGGCAGATAAATTACATTGTTCAATAAAAGCACCGAAATATTTGGACATTTTACTACAAATAACGCAATTATCACAATTCATGTAGACAACTCGCACGGAACGGGAAGTAAGATTGGAAAATAGGGAAACTCCTGTTGTATCTGATAAGTCTACATTACTCCAGTCGAGTTCATTAATCTTTGAAAGACTATCAAAAAACGTAACAAAACTTTCAACGAAATCAAAAGACAATTTACAATAAGACAAATCCAGATTATCCATTATAGATTGTTCGAAATTCATATTTTTAAATAAATGGTTACCTATTCCACATGATAAATCCAATAGGCTTAAATTCAGGGACGATATATGACTATATAATCCAATAAATTTTCCTAAACAATGTACGCTCTCTGCAGAAAAGATGCTTTGCTTTAAGTTTATTTCAAAATTAACATCTCTCTTTGGCTGTCCTTCGTATAAAAAGACATTCATTCCAATCTTTCCTGAAAGATTATTATATTCTAAATTAAGAGATTTCAATTGTGTTTGATGTGAAAGTAACAATCCTAGATAATAGGCGGTTTCTTCGCAAATGACTGAATTTTTTAAATTTATTACTTCAATTCCACACAACCCTAATGGAACTCCTCCAAGTAAATTTCTTCCAATTCCTTCCCTAAAATTTACTGATTGCAAATTTAATGTCTTCAATCGCAGTTGTTGCGCAATAAATAGGCCTACATATATAGATGAGTCGTAGGAAAATTGGCAATTACTTAAATTAATTTCCAGTAGATTACATCCTTGAGAAAAAGTTTTAAAAATTATTTTACCAATATCATCCAACATATTGACGGAAGATAGGTCTAAAATTTTTAGGTTTGGTGAGCTTCCTATAAAATTTCCAACGCATTCTGCTCCTATAGGAGATAATTTACAATAACTTAAATTCAAATGTGCTATACCATTCAAGTTTAAGGTATTACTCAGAAAGATGTTTTTGCCAATGTCTGATAGTAAAGAGGCCGAAGTTAAGCACAATTCATTCAGATCGGTCTGATATTCCAAGAATTTTCCCAAATAGACAGACATATCATTTGAAAGAATACAATCATCGAGTCGTAATGTAATTAAGTTGCAACACTTTGAAGGATAATTGTAAAATAGATTTTCTCCGATACTAGCTGATAAATCCACTTTAATGAAAGCTATAAATTTGAGGTCATTCTGATATCTTATTAACCTACCCAAATATTCGCTGGATTCTTGCGAAATATCGCAATTGTTAATAAATAATTCTTTTATATAATGATTATCCTTGAGGATATTCTTTAAAAATTGAACTGGTATACAAATGTTATTTAAGCATAATTCGTTAATTTTTAAACCAATAGAATTGAAGATAAGAGTCGTTTCGGGCTTATCACTGTAAATATTACATTTTCCATTGAGAAGTAGACATTTATAATGATTATAAATTCTCAGTGAACTTTCTAAATTGAATTCTTTAGAATTAACAAAATCATCTTGAAATAAGAACGATTTTTCAAAATTATTTCTAGAAGAATTAAGAATTTTCAACTTTCTATTCTCTTTTAAAGTTTGAACGAGACAAAGTAGAATTTCGTTTGTAACATTCTTTTGAGCATAGAACAAAAGAATTTCAATATTCATTTCCAATAAATTAATATTACGAAAAAATTTTAACGATGAATCATTCGTGAAATCATTTTTAGAAATATCCAAAACTTTAAGAAAAGGTATTTTCTTTAAATTACAATTAAAAATATCTAGAAAGCTTGAAGATAGACAACATCCATTCAAATATAATTCTTTAACATTTGAAATTTGATTAATGCAAATTTGCTGATTAATGAAATCTCTTTGAAATTCGCCATGACTAACGACTCTAAGTGAATCGAATGCCTTTGAAAATAATATTTTGAATAATATTTCATAATTGTAATTATTCCATTGAAAATTTAATTTCAAATTCTGGCTGTTTTTTAAATGTTTTGAAATTAGAAAAAAAAATTCATCAACTTGAAAATTCAAATTTTTTGATGAAATTTTTAAATTCACCAAAGACTTTTTATTCTTTATAATAAAACTTTCCAAAAAATCCTTTTCGAAATTACAACTTTCATTTTGTATATTTAATTTCTTAATTTCAGTGGAATTTTCCAAAACGTCTTGTAGAAATTGATTTGCAGTATTGTTTGAAAAATATGTGTAACCTACCGCAAATTTTGTAAGTGAAAATTTTATTGTAAAGCTAATTTTTATCCTTTTTTCATATTTGGAAACGGTCTGTTGATATTCTATTTTAGGAAGTTTTAATTTCTTTAAACATTTCAATTCTGCTAGACTACGAATAAAGGCGTAATTGTTTCTTTCAGTGATTACAATTCCAAGTAATTCTAAAGTTTCTAGTTGTTCGTTTCGTTTCAAAACTAAAGATATAGCATCTCCATTAATGGAATGATAACAATTTTTTATTTTCAGCTTCTTAAGGTGTACCAAATTGTCGGCAGTGGCTGATATAAATAATTGAAAGTCTTTTAATTCGGCTACATCGCAATAGATAACAATCTCTGTTAATCCTTGACAGCTCATTTTATACGATACTAAAGAATTGTTCACTTCTCGAGAATAGTTGAAAAGTGTTAATGATTCTATTGTTTTCTCTTTTGATATTCTTCTTTGAAAGTCAACTATTGTTCCACCTTCATGAAAAATTGAATGTGTTTTCTAATAATATGAAAATCTTTATTGGAAAAATAAGAAACTTACTTTGAAAAGGAGAAAAAGGAGAACTAATCTCAGTATAGCCGTAATTTTCGCCAGTTTCGTAAAATTTACATTTTTGTAAATGAAGCTTTTTCCAAACTGACATTTCACTGCTTGGATTAAAGTTTTTGGGAAAAATTAGATTAACATTTTTCAAAGTCAATTTTTTAAAATTATTAAATCTTGATAAAAAGACAAAAATATCCATATATGAAATATACTTTTCAAATTTGGTATCAAAGAGAATTTTTAACTTTTCAAGTTCATTAGTAAATGCCATGATAAAGAAGAAATCGTCAAAGAAAACATTTCTTAAAATTAAAGTCGTAAATTTTGAAGAATATTTCGATAGAATAAATTTAAATAATACATTCGAAGCCTTACAATTCTCCAAGTGGGATACTTCCATGCTTGAATTATTTAATCTTAATTTCTCTACTAAATGATAATGGGAATCGTCTTGAAAGAATGAAAAAGACTCTTTGTTCTGCGTTATCAGTAAATATAATTGGCGATCTAGAACGTTAATAAATTCAAAGATATTTTTAAGTTTGATTATATTTTTAATCGAGGAAAGAGATTCTAAAATATCTTCTTTTTCGCCATCTTCCTTTGTAGTTTTAAAGAATTCTATCAAGTATTTAGCCGTAAAATATTCGTGAAAAGAAAAATGTAGAAATTCGTATTCTTTACATAAAATTTGATTCTTCAGATTAAAGGTTTTAAGGAAGACAAGTCCTCCAAGATTATTAGTTGATTCAATGATATGATTACAGGTCATAGGCTTGTTATTAAGAATAAATTCTAGGCATTGTTTCCCGATGTACTTAATAATTTCGCAATAATCCTTAGTCTTAGGGATTAAACCGCATCTTTTCAAAAGGATATTTGTTGCTTCTTCAATAGCTAAATATTTATTATCTGGTATAATTTTCAAATTTTCCCAAATAGCTGCAAACAAAGTTGCAAAAAAAGGATTAAAGCACATTTGAAAAAATGTTGGCTTTTCTCCTTTCAAATAATGATAGAGCGTTTCTTTTCTGTTATTATCATCCATTTCGGAAAAGAATTTCAAGAAGAAAGCTCTAATATCGTCATCAGCAAATCCCAGGATTTCCAATGTTATATTAAAATTTCGAATCATTCTATCAATTCTATGAGTTCGAGTCCAACAGATAAGAATGTGAGGAAACATTTCCAACTTTTGAATTATCTCTGAGTCATTCAAGCTGGTTTTATACAATTCATCTAAATCTTCAACAAGTAGAATGATTTTTATATTTCCGCTTGTGTTATCTTCAAGATAATATTTTAAAACATTCCTAAAATATAGGGTATCTTCCGGAAAATTTTGCTTTATCAAAGTATCATAAATAGTTTCTGTGGGCAACAAATCTGTTACTTTTAAATGAAGAAATAGAAAATCCAAACAAATTCGACTAAACGACCAATGATTTAAAATTCTTAAACATTGAAATGTTTTCCCTTTTCCGGTTTCACCGAATATCAAAAGTCGATCTTTTTTCTCTAATCCTGTAAACATATTGATTTCATGTAGAATATTTCCCACTTCAAAATGTTTATTTGTTGATGCAAAAACCTTCAAAGGAACTTGAATATTTTCAAATTTAATATTAACAGATTTTCCACTCCAGAAAGGAAGAATGTTGATACTTGTAATTTTTTCTCTAATTCTCTGCTTAACTACATTTATTAAATTAGAAAAAGTGGTTACAATCCTATAATGAAGTTGGGTAGATAGAGGATGATTAACGCTGCTTAAAACCCGTAAAAAGTCTTCCGTATTTAGGCTGAGAATCTTATCTCCTACTATTTCAGTTTTGCAATTGTAAATATTTTCAAAAGATGATGCAATACAGCCGTTTCGTAAAAGTTCATTCAATAAATCGTTTTGCTTGAAATCCAAAATATCTTTTATTTCATTCTTATAAATACTCAAAAATGGATTGATGTGGGACATTTCTTTTTTATGGCTATTAAACAATGGGAAAAGTAGATAAGTTTATCAATAATTAAAAGCTGATTTTTTCTTGTTTATATATATATACTGTATATCATGAAATAGATAAAAGAATAATTCAAGATTGTTTATGAATGAAAAACACAGGAAAAGAGAGACGAAAATTTAATTTAGGTCGCAAAAAGGAACTTTTAACACTTACCTGTTTGATCCTTTTTCGTCTGTGATAGAAAAATTATGTGAAAATATAGAAAAAAATTAGTGCTTTAACACATTTCTATACAGCCGACAACAGTCACAACCTTTATCTGATTGTCTTAAAAAAACTTTATCAATTTAAAGCCATAAATGCTGATAAGAAAAAACAAAAATATATTACTAAAAATACGCCTTAGATATTTATTATTAACTTGTAATCAAAAAACTCGTATGACATCAATAGTGATAAACAATTGGGTCAATGAAAATGCTCCTAAAGAAAGTAGATTATTGTTTTCATTTAAATAAATGCAAGCCTGCAGAAATATCACGAAACAAAAAAAAGACCTATTATCTCTACTTACATTTCATATATTATTTAAACAATTAAAAAATGAGTCATTGAAGCAAAAATTGTCTTATTTAGCAAAAAAAGAAAATGTCGTCGTTTTCACACCAAGAATAAAGAAGATTCCTAGAAAAATGTACTATTTTGTTATATAAAGATAACAAAACGTATAAAAATATCTGATGATAGTCGTTTATTTTCGAACTTTATTTATCTTTTTTGATATAAAGTTCATAAAACCTTTTTTTTTTCCTGTCAAAAAATGGGTTATAACATTATTAGGCAATTTATGATTCAAACTACAAACCATTTACTTCTTTTAGAGTATTACCCGCTAGATTTACGTTTGTAGTTTGTCAAAGTTACTTAAAGAATAAGTTGTAGACTGTGCTGTTTTTTCTAAATGATAACTGATAGCAGGAGTAATTTTCTCTGGGATATTTGGATATTTTAAGAAAAGTAATTTCATTATATAAATTTAAAAACAACAAAAAATATTAATTCATTTTATTCAACTATTGAAATTATTCTCACTTTTTTTCTATTGGATATCATTGTCAAAATATGCAGTATTTAAAAATTCACAAAAGATAATGATCAATCGTTGCGCATTTGACAGGCTATTCTTTCACGAATTTTTGTGTCGGGTATTAAAAATGAACCACACCTTCCCATCTCTTTACTTGCCACGTTCCAACAAAAGATAGTTACATGTTAGTGTTTTTTTAAATGAAACTAATATGTCTTATTTAGTTTTTGAATTGAGTTTGTATGTACCAGCAGTAGTTATTTTCAAACTACTATTGGAGAGTTAAAAGGAGAGCAGAGAAAGGAAAAGAATTATGAATAATTCAAGCTATTATCCCTCATTTCCAGAGATACCGATGGACTAGTATAGTGGAAGAAAATTTAGAAATGAATTTCTCTCATTATTCAAAAAGAAGCAAATTAAAGAATAAAATTCACAATTTAAATCACTATCAAAAAACCAATTATCTAAATAGCAGAGAATTGATTTTTATTTCAGTCCTATTTACTGATAAGTGACAATCTTTAAACCACAAATAAAAATGCTTACTTTGAGTCACTTTTCTTTATAAATTTTTATTTATTTTGCTGTTTGGATCACAAGGTAACACCACTTTGTACAATAAAAATAAATCATTTGATGAAATATACTTGAGAAAGTTTTAAACATATTTACGGCTGGGAAAAACTCAATTTCATTCATTATTTTCTAGGCTAAAGCCTAATTAAGGGTCAAGGACAAAACAGAAGGAAAAACTGTATGTTCTGTTTTATGGGCTAAATTCAGAATATAGACTTTTTTACTTGAAATGAAATGATACTAATCATAGAATTTTGAAAAACTTTTGTAGACTTATATCTGTAGCTGTTCTGAAGTGTTTTCCAAAAAATTGAGATTTCCTCTTTTCCTGAATATGGTTTCAGTAATGTAGTATTTGTGTAATCATCAACGTCCAGTAGTAAAGTGGCCATTGTGGTTTGCAATGCATCAAATTGCATTGCTACTTGTTCTGTTGTCCTCTGTCCCCTAATTCTTGAGACATTTGTATACACTTGAACTGTCAGCTTGCATTTTGTGACTACTTGAATTTTCATACATAGAGGAGTTTGCAGGAAAAGTTAATGAAACATTCTGCTCATGAATAGTTCCACCAAAATTCTTTGTTCTCTTCATATATTCTTGCTTTTTAGCACTAATTTTCTTGTCATCTTTACTTGTTTTACCGGTAGCGGGGTCGTTTACTGTACTAGCCATTTTAAGATGAGAATCCTTTTCACTGCGCCATAATTGTACTTTCTTGAGTAAGTAGGAGTAAGCCATTTGGAAGAGATAAAGAACTAAGAGAAGATGAATATAGAACCAATTGGCAAGAATAATGTAACTGTATTCAAAAGTAATACTGAACCTGTCCAAAAGTAAAATTGCCCTGAGGTTATTAGATTGCAGAAGGCAAAAGGATATTTCCAATTTGCAGTTAACTACAAGTATTTATAATAAAAAGCTTACTAAACTCTATTGTTAGGGAACATTTGGATCTCTTTATTACTAACATCCAATCTTACAAAACAGTTACTGGACTGTTGGGTTTATAGCCCTTTGTGAATAGTTTATTAATTGTAAACAAATATCATTTGATAATGGCAACTTTGGATAAGAATTTTGAGAAGAATTACAAATTTTGTCCTGATTTCTCTGATGGTTTTATGTTTGTAAAGAGGTTGAAAATTCATCATGTCTATGAGAAAAAAATCAAATTTTAAAAAAGAAAATAATGACAGCTTAAAGCAACCACTGATTCATGCCTTGTTTTTCCTTGCTATGACGTCACAGTCTAGGGGCGCTATATTATCTTATTGATCTTCATATTCTACAACAGACTAAAGCTCATTCTAAAATACTCTTTTAATTACAATTTTTCTACAATGAAAAAACCGCTTCTAAACATTGTAATTGTTTTATCGGTAGCCATAGTGATGATAAAATGTGATGTAACAAAAATCGCTGACATCATAGACAGTTTTATTAACAATAAACTCGGGCTAAAATTCTATCAGGTACAGTATGATTTATTGTCAAATTCGTCGATATTTAAATAAATAAATAAGGCCTATGTATCACGTGGTTTTATAGAATTACTTGGACGAGGAAAGCAATATAATTTATAAAAAGAGCTTATTGGATAAACGAAATAGTGAGCAAGTACTCAATAAAGTAATATTTTCAAATTTTCATGTATCTATGTAAACAATTGAAAGTGTAAAATTTTTGAAAAGTTGGTAAAATCAGTTGAAAGAAAATTGGATGAAAGAAAACTAGCCCTAGGTGATTTGAAGAGAATTTTCAGTGATAACTATTATTTATTCTACGAAACGAAGAATTTAAGTGATAGTTGTAATATTCAAACATCTAGGAGCGATAATATATGTATTTTAAAAAGGAAGAATTCGAACTTTGTTAAAACTCCACCTGTTGAGGTAACTCGTTTGATTAAAGCTAATTTGAGGAAATACGAATTTATTAAATCTCAATATATTGGCACTGAAGAAGGTCTTATTCTAATATCCTCTTCAAATATCCAATGGAAAAAAGAAGATGACCCCAGATACCAGTCCTGGTATGCTCAGGTAACCAATCGCAACGGAAAGGATATAGTATTAATCTTTGATAATTCAGGTTTAAATTAAGCACAATTAATACATATCATTAATCCTTTTTTTCTTCTAATTAAATACGTAGCAAAGACGGGTGATAGAGTTCAAGGTCGAAAGATACAATGGTATCAGGTTGAGGCGATACAGACTCTAATTAATACTCTAACTGACAATGATAGATTGTCATTAGTTGCCATGTCTAGTTCTAGTATAGTTTCTCCATTGGCTGGTGAACATTGTAATGGTAGTAAGTTGCACTTTGTCACACCAAACAATAAGAAACTATTTCACAAGTTCATTAATCAACTCAATCCTCTGGGAACTACAAACTACATTGATGCATTTAATACAACTTTCTCTCTATTTTCTTCGTCTCCTACACCTAAAGTGTCAAATATTGGAACTAGAGGTCGCTCTCTATTTTAAATTTAATTAAGTTCATTTAAAATTATATATAAAATTCTGCTTTTAGAAAAACTCATTATTTTCCTGACGTATACAACACCACATTCTGATATTTCAACTGTTGAACAGTTTTTTAAACAGTCCAACCTTCACCTTTCAAACAGTATTCCTATTTTTACGTATGCTATTGGCAATAGTAAGTAACGATAATAGAACTCATCCTTTCAACTAATGACGGTTAAAATAAAACCAACCGACACGCTTGCAGACTTCCATAATAAAACGCTGACATTTTTGAAAGAAGTTTCAACCCAGAAGTTTGAAAATACAAAAAATACTCCCACTTCAAGACAGCAAGGAATGTTCAAACACGTTTTGAACGCTACAGACCTAAAATCTGAATTGGCCATCTACTACAAGTATTTAGAATCTAGTAGTCAAAATAGAGAAACTCTTATCACCTCCCCAGTTTATGATAAATCCCAAGGTGTTTTAGTTTCGTTATGTAGTCCTATATGGATTTATGGATTTATTGGGGTTGCTCGAATTGATGTCAGTTTTTCAGATATATTTTCAGATATTGAAACTTTTACTAGTAGTCAACTATCTTCTTATCCAATGGTAATTGATTCAATGAACAGAGCGCTATCTCATCCTCTATTGCCTTCGTCAATTCATATTTTTAATGATTTGACTTATTTAACATTTAATCTGCTTGAACCTCAGCTTTCATCTAGTCAAATTCATCAAATGATAAGGTATTGCTTTAAACAGGGAGAAATAGTTCATAAGTTTATCATACTTTTAGTTCAAAAGAAGGATCATTTGCAGCAGTAACGCAGCGAATAAAATCTCGTGGAAATTCTTTATACGAAGGGATAGATGTGGACAGCGTAGCGTCGAATTATTATTGGATTATGACTAAAGAATTTGGATATAAGATTTGTTTTGTTGTAACTGAAAAGGATTATCTGTTGGATGTTGAATATAAATTTTCGGATTATCCATTCGATTATCATAAGATTAGACTTGGTTGTCCATACAGAGGTACAGTAATTTTAAGAAATACGAGCACTACAAAACTTGCTCCAGAGAGTTTTGTTGATCCTTTTGAATACTTGAACACCTTTGAGTCTTATAGCAGGGTGCAATCATATAAAAATGTTATAAATGGTCACACTGAGAATTCCTTGTTCAAAAATCAAATTATTCCATCATTCGGTATCAGCGATAGACTTGATAAAATATGGTCTCAATTGGATAATAATTACCAAACACCATATAATTTTAAATTTTTTGGTTCGAAAACTGGTCTATTTAAATCCCTACCAGGATTTGAATTACCCAATATATTCTCCCCAACACACCAACCTTGGTACAAGAAGTCAATGTTCTACAAGGGGAAAATAGTAATATCTCCAATTCAACGGGATAATATCAATGTCAATTGGGTTAACACATTGAGTCACGTGGTATACGAAGGCCGCCGTAACAGACAACATACAGCTGACGATAATACTCTTGGAGTTGTTGGATTGGAAGTTAACATGGGCTATTTCTATTACACAATAGTTAAATTAGTGCCGAAATGCCAACTTGACCAATATAGTTGTTTAATGATAGATGAGAGTGGTTTAATGATTAGTTATCAAAGAGGAGCGAAAAATCCTAATAGTATAAGCCATTATCAGCATATTATTTCATTAGAACCTAGGCTATCAACCCAGCTCGTATCTGCAGAAATTCTACAGAAAAGCCAATGCTTTAACATCTTAACGTTTAGATATCAATTGTACTGGAGAGTAAGCAATCTTCTTTTTTTCTTTCCAATTTGTTCAATATGCTTGAATTTTAGGTTACGTTTAAGAATGACAAATACCAAGGAAAATTTTTTACTATTCAAAGGATAAGAAATACAAATGCACTTTTAATAATCATTGATAGAAATGAAGAGAAGTCATATGAAAACCATTGCTCAGTTTGTCAACCGGAAATGGCAGATTGTTTAAGAAATGTCGAATGCCAATGCCCGTGCTATATTCCAAAGGAAATAAACTCTTGCCAATCAGCTCAAAAGTAATTTAAATATGTACAGTATAATGTATATATATATTATATATAGTCGATGGTCGCAACGACTAGTCTTGGCGACATGCCAAGTTTAGATTCGTACAATTATTATAAACGCTATGCCGTTACGTTTAGAACTATTCAACTACAACTTGTATATACATTTATACTTAATATTCACCATCTTTTCTCATCTTATCAGAGATAACACTCCAATTTGCGCTGTTGAAGTATTGAGAAATTTCACCAGTAATTCCAATGCTGCTACTGGACTATGCGGAAGAAAACCAGAATGTTTGGGCAACACTAAAGAGTTTGTTCTTTAATTAATCAATAGATCTTATTCCCACCAATCATTTCTATATATTTTATCATTTTGCAGGGGTTGCAAGAAATTGAAACACTGCACATGGTGTTATACGAAATATCATCAAAAAACTATCCTTAGGGAATTGAACTGCGTAATTCCGGTGAAATGCAAAAAATTTTTAAGAAAAGGTGGCTCGTCAAGTATTTGGGGTGGAATTTCAGGTGGAATTGCCGTTGGTTCTGTTTTCATCACATGTAATATTTGTAACTTTATCAAAGGCTATATGGAAGATATTGTCTGGCGGCCCTCCTTAGATAAACCACCTCAAAATCTTCCATAGCCATATCAAATTCATATAATAGACAACGACTTTTCTATTTTGTAAACAGTTGCTGCAATTTTCGCCGGAATCCAGATAAAGAGATTATTGTTCAAAAGGTGTAATTCTAGAGAACCCGAAGTATCAAATTTGAGTGAAGGAGCAACCGGTAACGAAATGTCAGAAATAAGAAGAAATGAGGAGAGAATCAGTCCTAAAGTGATAGAAAATTCAAAGATAAGAACTTTTGAAAGTAATGAATTACCAACATATGAAGAAGCTGTTGCTTAATTTACTCATTATTTTCAGTATTTTTTAAATTAAAAAAAATAAACTTAAATGTACAGAAATCCTAATTTCAACCCATTCAAAATGCAAAACATCGTGACAAAGCAAATATAGTTGTTTATAGATAAGGTTTTGAGTGTTCAAAGTCCCGTATTGAGTTGTTCAAATCTCTTATCAGAAAGAAAGTGATATCTTATCAATATTAGAATATAAATCAAAGTTTTTCTCGAATTCCGTATTCTAAAAAAGAAAAGAAAATGAAATGTTTAACCATTTCTTTAGTTTGTAAGTTGTTTGTTTGTTTGTTTGTTTTTTCATTGTGTTCAATTTTTTGCAGTGCTCTCATTTGTTCGATCAAGTTATTCTAATTTCAATTGTCCTCTTAACTCTGAACTGCGGCCAATTGATGGAGCCTTCCCTGATCCGGATTTTTGCGGAATATATTACCATTGTATTAATGGTACAGCCCATCCTCAGCAATGTCCTCCAGGACTCTTTTTTACAGTCTCCCTAACCAATTGCCAGTATACTTTGTGCGTTGAGCCGGAAGCAGCTGACTGTCCAGGAGGAGATTCTTCAATGATTATTGAATCTGACTATTCAACAGAATGCTCAACGGAAGGCGATGTTGTAGATACATTCGAGAAATCTTGCTATTCAAAAAATGACGAATGCAGCGATGGTCGAAATGGAACATTTCCCAACAATAATGATTGTCGACAGTATTATCATTGTTATAATGGAGTTGCTTGGCCGCAGCAATGTCCATCCGGTTATTTCTTTAGTCCTTCGTTAAACGTTCGCGACTGCACAACAAGAGTATGCGTTACGGCCGAAGAATCACTGTGTCCAACTCCTGGAGGTTGGTCAGAATGGTCGGGTTGGAGCGATTGCGATCCAAACTGCGGAGACGGTGTAAGACTTAGAAGTAGAAGCTGCACAAATCCTCCTCCTTCAAATGGAGGAGACGAATGTCCAGGAAGTTCAGTTGATATTATGATTTGTTCAAATCCTCCATGTAATTTGAACAAGAATCCGGCATTTATGGTATCTTTAACAAGAACTACCTCAGTGGAAACTGGAAGAATGAAGTGGTCTAAAGTCAATCACGACAATGGAAATTTATTTAATACGACTTCAAATTCTTTAAATATTCAAAAAAATGGCTTCTACTTTCTTTCAATTACGGCGACTTCAACTACGACGTCTCAGCAACACATATTGATGACAATTTTAAAAACGGGTTTCAATGTAGCCCTATTCCAAGGTGACAGTCTTCAAAGGGATACTTTCAGCAGATCTGGAATATACTCTTTGAATTCCCTACATCAACCTTATATTGACAATGATTATGCGACGACGGTGGTCGACACTGAAACCAGCGCTGAGACATCCTGGTCTGGCTTTTTCT